CGGGGCAGTGGCCGCAGCCTCGCACTTGGGGGGCCATTACCACTAGACGGGGCGGTCGGGTGCCTGCGGCCTCGCCCGCACGCCCAGAGTCTCACCCGATCCCATCTACATCCCGGGGAGGGGCCCGGGAACCTCCCAATCGTCCTCTAACCAAGAGTTTACTCCACCTGCCGCACTTAGCCCCGGGGGACGGACCGGAGCTCCCTCAATCCGTGTCTGATACTAGATTTGTCCTCGTCCCACCCCGCAGTCCCCTGAGGAGGGTGATATGCGCCCTCTTTGACTTTTTTTCTTCTGGGTCTCCAGGTCCCGGAGGGGATTTGTGAACCTCTGCTGTCTCCCAACCACTCCGGTGCATTTCCGCCTGGCTCCTAGAAGCCCCATTCAATATCACATCTCTTGCCACTTTTGCTCTTCCCCAAGGAACTGCTCCCACCCCAGCACGTGGAGGCCTCTCACGGTCCTCCTTTCTGGGACCTGAGCAGATTTGGTGAAAGCCACACTGCCCCATGACACATGGCCCTCTTCCTCCTGTACTAACACTCGCAGGAGGGCCCAGTGTGTTTCTGACCCTTTTAGCCCCATTAAAGCTCCTGAGCTCTACGCTGCCTCCTCTCTCTGTTCTTTGCTGCACCGGAACCCGTGGTTAGGGGAAAGTAGGGAGAGGTTCATCTCGGGCCACAGCAGAGAACTGCCAAGGAAGAGGTCCCAAGAAGGAGGGTGGCGCGGGCTTGGGCGTCGCTGCAGGGAGCGAGGGGCCTGGAGAATGGGCTCAGCCCAAGGAGCCACCTTGCCTCACACCCACCCTGCCAGGCGACCCCAGCTCACCTCACTCGGTCTTCCACTTGCCCTTCACCCCACCCTATCCATACTTCCGTCCTAGCAGACACCTGCACCCCACCCTCCCCATCTCACTCACCCTTTCACCCACCCCTCACCCGCCCCATCCCAATAGGCACCCCACCCCCACCCCACTCAAGCTTCCCCATCTCACCCACCCGTCCACCCGCCCCTCACTCCATCCCATCCCAATAGGCACCCCACCTCCACGCCACCACCCATCTCACCCATCCTTCCTCCCGCCCCTCACCCCACCCCATCCTGACAGGCACCCACATCACATCTTCCCTCTCTCACCCATCCTTACACCCGCCCCTCACCCCACCTTATCCCAATAGGCACCCACATCCCACCCCCACATCTCACCCATCCTTCTACCTGCCCCTCACTCCACCCCATCCCAACAAGCACCCCCACCCCACCCTCCCCATTTCACTCACCCTTCCACC